GTAATCGCAAACGTATGGCCGCTGTTGTAAGTGAACCGCTTCTAAGTGTCGGTTGAAATTCATTTCGGTGTTAAACTTTTGGCCACACGACTCGTGAGTGCAGACAAACGGGTAGTAATACGTATCGTAACGTTCAGCGGCCGCCTCTTTGCTATCACTCATATCGTTGTCATCAGTGGTGTCGCCATTCGTGTCATTCAATGCCGGCGTGTCTTCGGACACATTCTTCGACACCTTTTCATACGTTATGTTTTTGTGTGATTTATTAACTAATTTCCTATAAGTGGTCCGCTTTTCGCCCATGAGTCGACCGCAACTCATATTATGGTCGGAATGAGTGTTCGAGTGTTCATCGAAAAGTTCTTTGTTATCAAATCGGTGTCCGCACTGGAAATGCTTGCACTCGTATGGGTCGCCCGAATGCACTTTCAATCGGTGCTCATTCATCGACCGCTTCGTTTTGTACATTCGTTCACAACCGGGAGCCGTACACACAACAGACCATCTGCGCCCGCGAGACATTGTCAATCTGTGGTGCGCTAATCGAGTCCCAGTTGGGAACCGTTTGCCACAGTTTTCGCATTCATATGGTTTATCACTCGAATGGATGGCTCGCATGTGTTCCGTGAGGTGTGAAACGGATTTGAAGGCTCGGCCGCATGACATGTGCGGACACACGTGTGGCCGCTCCTCATCGACTGGTGCGGAGGGTTTAGTGACGGCATGTGTTGTCTTGTGGTTGGATTTCGAGGACCGCTTAGTTCTTGAGGCAGAGCTCAATGAATCAATACTCTCATTCTCTGTATCATTAAATAGTTGTGTGTCTTCTGGACTCGTTTCAGGCCACTCCTCGGGTTCACCAGAAATGTTATCAGAGGAATGTGTCGACAAGTGTTGATCGAAAAGCTCTTTGGTATCAAATTGTTGTCCACACTCGGAATGCTTGCACTCGTATGGGTTCCCGATATGCGCTCTCAATCGGTGTTCATTCATATTGTACTTTGATTTAAACAGTTGATCACATCCCGGGGCCGAACACACGACACGCCAGTTCTTATCGCAACTACGAATTTGATGGCTTCCTAAGCGACTCCTCGTTGGGAACCATTTGCCACAGTCTTTGCATTCAAATGGTTTATCACTCGAATGAATGGCTCGGATGTGTTCAGTGAGATGTCCTTTCATTTTAAAGGCTGCGCCGCATGTATTGTGTGAACACACATGTGGTCTCTCCTCATCGACCGAAGCGGCGGCGGATTTCGTGACGGCATGTGTTGTCTCGTGAATGGGTGTTAATGACAAATCATTACTTGTAGAAGCGGTCACTGTATCGATACCGTCACTATCCGCGTTCAATACGTGTGGATCCGTTTCAAGTGTTGAATGTTGTGATGAGTTCTTCGCTCGTTTCGCGCGGTGATCACTCATTTCAAGTCCATCGCAAGTATTATCGTCGGAACAAGTGGTTGAGCTCTCGGTGTCCGCTCTCTTACGGACTGTTTTGCCGGTTATGTCCTGGTTTTTATGCGCCGTTGAAATGTGTACCAAAAGCCTCTGTTTCGTTGGCCATCGTTTGCCGCACCCGTCGTACTGACAGATGAACGGCCGGTCGACTGCGGCCCGAGTGTGGAAACACTGGATGTGATCAGTCATATATCTCAACTGTTTAATACCAAAAGCCTCTGTTTCGTTGGCCATCGTTTGCCGCACCCGTCGTACTGACAGATGAACGGCCGGTCGACTGCGGCCCGAGTGTGGAAACACTGGATGTGATCAGTCATATATCTCAACTGTTTAAACCTTCGCCCACATGTCGGACACTCGTGTGGCCGCAGAATCAGGTCTTCTGCTGTAGGTTTATATCGAGTGTTCTCTAAGTTCTTCTTCTTCTTCTTCGGTGGTGATGTCCGTAAAGTGTCTTTTTGGAAATGAAAGTCGCGAAACTCTTGGCTATCACTCATTTCAAGTCCATCGCAAGTATTATCGTCGGAATAAGTGGTGGAGCTCTCGGTGTCCGCTCTCTTACGGACTGTTTTGCCGCTTGTGTTCTGTCTTTTATGCGCCGTTGAAATGTGTCCCAAAAGCCTCAGTTTGGTTGGCCATCGTTTGCCGCACCCGTCGTATTCACAGATGAACGGCCGGTCGACTGCAGCCCGAGTGTGGAAACACTGGATGTGTTCAGTCATATATCTCAATAGTTTAAACCTTCGCCCACATGTCGAACACATGTGTGGCCGCAGTATCAGGTCTTCCGCTGTAGGTTTATATCGAGTGTTCACTGAGTTCTTCTTCTTCGGCGGTGATGTCCGTGAAGTGTGTTTCTGGAGATGAATGTCGAGAAACTTTTGAGTAATGAATGTTAGACCACATCCAGAGACGGGACACAAAAGCATTGGAAGTGTTATGAAGTGTCCATTTGTTTGGGTTGTGTTCAACACATCTGTCGATGCATTCAATGGCAGACTCTTTGGTGTCATTTGTGTCTGTCTTTCACTCATGAAATCAAAATCATTGGATGTGTTGTCAATGTCTGCCGTTATTATCACATCTTTGGTCTCTTCCGGCACTTCATTGCCTTTGGAAGAGATTTGCGATTTCTGGTGATAATGAGCGGCCGTTTCAGTGATAATGACATTGAATTTATTGTCCAATACTTCGAGTCTTTGGATGTCTTCGAGTGATAAGTGATTCAAGTCTTTGAGAATTGTCTTAAAACTCAATATTTTATTCAAATATATTTGAAACTCATTTAAGACATCAAAACATTGTTCAGACATTGTTTTAATGTCTTAAACACAACACGTGTTTACCATTCAATCAAAACAATCATTCAATTGATTCTCAATTCACACAACAATTCAAATGTAAACACACTTTGAGTGCACTTTCACTGCAATGCTTACAAGTGTTGCGCAAAGTATACAATAACAAAATTATTGCCTAAAGATTATTTTGTAAAATATTAATTTAAGTCAAAACCTAATTGAAAGTATACATTAAACTAAAAAATTATTTAATCATGCAGTTTTGCAACAATTGTTATAAAAGTTATATATAAAACATCATAAATTATAATTAAAACCATGTTCCGCATTATCTTATAAATCTTGTTAATTTTAGACAATTATTGGTTTAATATAACAAATAATTAATTATAAATAAAATTGTCATTTATTTCAAAAATAATTTTTATTAAATTCATATTAAATTCAATACTAACAAACCAAAAGTCATATAAAGCCGTTTATTTATTCATTTTGCAACAAAACTATACAGACTTATTTCGCACTAATTAATTGATTATCCTGAATTTATTTTAATTGTGCATGGTTTTTAATATTTTTAGCGACTAATTTTGAACAAATATGTTATTCCTACTTGATGTTTTAAAAAAATTCTAATTATGTACCACAATTAATTAATTATGATCGAAAAGGCCGTGGTGCGAGACTTTTTGCGTTAACTGTAGTCATATAAATTGAAACCAATTTAAAAATAACTTACAAAAAAATTTATTTAATAATAAAATACAAAAATTATATAATCAATAATACATGTTACTTTTATATTACTTTTAAAATTTAGTTAAAATTTTTTAAATTAGTAAAATTAAATGTTAGAGAAACTACAATCACATTTAAATATCACTTAAGAGTTATAAATATAACTCAATTAATATTAATTACAAAACCATTTCTTATAAAAATTCTAAACAATCGTTTCAAATATTTATTAAGTCTATTGTGTAATGAGATTGAATACTATTTGACCACACGGTATGTCTCACACCGTATGCGCACTCTTCAGATGACTATTCAATTGTGTCCTAAACTTAAACCGTTTCCCACAGTCGGGCCAATCGCACGCGTGGTTACGCACAGCGCTGTGGATCACCATATGTTGTGTGAGATCTCCCTTACGTCTGGTGCGAAACCCACATCCGGGCCATTCGCAAGCGTGGATCAGATCGGATCCGTGAATCAACTGATGTTCAACGAGTCTACCCTTCATTTTGGCCCTATAGTCACAACCGGGCCATTCGCAGGCGTACGGCCGCTCATCGGTATGGCTCTTACTGTGAAACTTTAATAAATTATCAAAACATGTGCTGTAATCACACGCAGGCCACGGACACCTCTTCACCAGATCCGGGTGCTCGCCCTCTCGATGCGCCCGTAACTCGGCTTTGGTGTCAAACACACGGTCGCATCCATTAGCCGTACACTTATGTCGTAAGACTCGGTGCCGGGTGTGGCCGACCATCACGTTTTCGTACTTCCGCTTTAAATGAACGTCCCTTTTGTGGTCGTAAAGTCGCGACCATTTGGCGAACCCTTTGCCGCACTTTTCGTAATCGCAAACATACGGCACATATGACGGGTGAACGGAAGGGTAGTGTTCTTCGAGATGATATCGGGTGGCAAACTGTTGGCCACAGTCCTCGTGAGTGCAGACAAACGCATTCTTAAGCTTCGTATCGCTTCGACGTATGCCATGTTTGTTATGTTCATGAGTGCGGAAACTATCCCACTTGACAAACACTTTCCCGCAGTTGTTGTAATCGCAGACAACACTCTTATCTGTTTGGTGGACACAAACCGTGTGTTTCTTAAGAAGAATCTCTCTTTTGAAACGTTTACCACAGGACTCATGAGTGCATACATACGGCGAGTCACAGTACGGGGAATTCGTTTCATTGATACCATCGATGGTCTCGTGGATTTTATTGTCACTGTCCTCACCATTCATGTCATTCATCACATGTGTGTCTTCTGACCCCTTCTTCGACTTTTTATGTCTCGTATTTTGTGGCGATTTTTTCACTCGTTTGACACGACTGTTGCGTGTATTGTATCCATGAGTTGTGTCTGCATTTTCATCGATGGCTTCACTTTTGCAAACATTGGCTTTGTATCGATGGCCAGAGGTATCACTATTTTGTGGTAATTTCTTCACGCGTTTGACACGAGTGACCGCCCGTTTGTGTCCATCATTAGTATTGTTAGTGTTTGACGTATTTATCACTTCATTCTTCTGGTTATTAACCTTTATATTGACATTTGAAGCCTTTAATGGTATCTTTAGTTTTGCAGTTTCAGTGATAATGACATTGAATTTAGTGTTGAGTACTTCCAGTCTTATGATGTCTTCAAGTGATAAGTGTTTCAATTCTCTCACAATTGTCTTAAAACTCAATATTTTATTCAAATATATTTGAAACTCGTTTAAGACATCAAAACATTGTCTCATAAATAATAATTCACTCAAAAGTCTTGTATTTTCTTCACTCAACTCTTGGACCAAATCATTGATCACTAATTCAGTCATTGCTTTTACGGGTTTTATCCCTTTCTTGTCACTGGTTTTTATATTCCTCGGAGTACTTCGAGAGGAATGTGTCTTCAAGTCAATTGACAATTTGTTGTGTCGTTTTGTTTCAATTATAATGACATTGAATTTAGTCTTCAATACTTCCAGTCTTGGGATGTCTTGAAGTGATAAGTGATTCAAGTCTTTCAAAGTTGTCTTAAAACTCAATATTATTTTCACATATATTTGAAACTCATTTAAGACATCAAAACATTGATTCAAAAACAATAATTCACTCAAAAGTCGTGTATTTTCTTCACTCAACTCTTGGATCAAATCATTGATCACTAATTCNTTAAGACATCAAAACATTGATTCAAAAACAATAATTCACTCAAAAGTCTTGTATTTTCTTCACTCAACTCTTGGATCAAATCATTGATCACTAATTCAGACATTGTTTTAATGTCTTAAACACAACACGTGTTTACCATTCAATCAAAACAATCATTCAATTGATTCTCAATTCACACAACAATTCAAATGTAAACACACTTTGAGTGCACTTTCACTGCAAGGCTTACAAGTGTTGCGCAAAGTTTACAACAAATTACAATAAATTAGTTGCTATTTATAAGTTATAAATTATAACTTTAATTCATATTTTAAACATAATTTAAAATATGTTTTATTAATTAGACAAATATATTATACGGTACAATGAATTTTAATATTACAAAAATATATATAATTTTTAATATTTAAAGGAAAAATAATTAATCTTAAATTTACAATTTTCACAATCGTAAATCTTGAGCCGTGTTTTGTGTAATAAATATGAATTGTAATTAAAAATTTTAACAATTTTTTAATTAAATACTTTTTGTATTAAATTAAACATTAAATTCATGTCCTTTTTTATGTTCATTCAATTGGTTTGTATCGCGAGTACTGAATGAACAGCCCTTACGATCGCAGGCAAACACTTTCCCCGTGTGTTCTCTCTTCAGATGACTATTCAATTGTGTCCTAAACTTAAACCGTTTCCCACAGTCGGGCCAATCGCACGCGTGGTTACGCACAGCGCTGTGGACCACCTTATGCTGAGTTAGATCACCCTTACGTCTGGTGCTAAACCCACATCCGGGCCAATCGCACGCGTGGATCAGATCTGAACTGTGGACCAATTGGTGTTCAATGAGTCTACCCTTACGTTTGGCCCTATAGTCACAACCGGGCCATTCGCACGCGTACGGCCGCTCATCTGTGTGTGCAATCATATGCCTTCGTATAGAAAGACCATAAGTTTCAATAAAGTCACACCCGGGCCACGGGCATCGGTTGACCAGCTCCGGGTGGGCCTCTCTTTTATGGGCTCTTATTTCACTGAATGAGTTGCACACGAGTCCACACCCGGTCACCAAACACGTCACGTGTTGGCCCCTAACACTTAGTTTCTTCTGGGTGTTGACTCTCAATAGTTTGGTTGTGTCCACACATACATCAATCATTTTAAAGTCATGTTTTCTGTGCACGCCTTTCATGTGTCCGTGAAGTTTGCGTTTGAATGCAAACACTTTACCGCATCCCTCGTGCGGACAAACACAGGGCTGTCCACCGCTTTGAGGCGGATGGACGTCAAGTTTGTGGTCATACAAGCGCTTCATTGTGGCGCACGCTTTGCCGCACTTCGGGTAATCGCAAACATAGGACAGATGTGTCGGATGGACTGTTATAAGATGTTTGTCCAAATCAGGTCTGTATTTAAATATCTGGTCGCATTCCTCGTGAGTGCAGACATATGGGTCTCTAATAGATTTCGATCCAATACGTGCGGCCCGTCTTGTGCGGGGTTTTCCGTTCTGATGAACTCGTCGTCGGTGTGCGGACAGCCCTTTAGATGAAGTAAAACATTGTCCGCACTCATCGTAACCGCAAACGTATGGCCTATCGGTTGAGTGAACGCTATTGACGTGATTTTTAAGATGTTCTTTCCTTTTGAAACGCTTACCACAGGACTCATGAGTGCACACAAACGGCCGGTCATTATCCGCATCACTATTCTCTTCACTTTCATCGTTGGTCTCGTTGTCGCTGACATAGTCTTCATCGTCAGTGTTGTCACTCTTGTTGTCATTCAAATCTTCTGAACTCTTCTTTGAGTTATTATGTGTTATATTTAGTGATCGTTTGACACGACTATTGCGTGTATTATATCCACGAGTTGTTGTGTCAGTCGTTATCTCTTTATCGTTCAATTCTTTAGACACCAATTTGTGAGTCAATTGGTTTCCATCGGTCTTATTGTCACTCAAGTGGTCTTCATTGTCATTACGAGTGGTGTCACAAATCGTGTCAATCAATACTTTTCTTGGTTTCAATCCATTCTTCGACTTCTTATGCGACGATATCTTCGTTCGTTTCACTGAACTCTTTCTCTTATTGTCACACTTTTTATTTATTATCTCTTTATTCATCACTCGATTGTCTTTTGAAGCTTTCACTGATGTTTTCGTTCTTTCAGTTTCAGTGATAATGACATTAAAATTTAGTTCCAATACTTCCACTCTTTGGATGTCTTCGAGTGATAAGTGATTCAAGTCTTTCATAAATGTCTTAAAACTCAATATTTTATTCAAATATATTTGAAACTCATTTAAGACATCAAAACATTGTCTCATAAATAATAATTCATTTAAAAGTCTTGTATTTTCTTCACTCAACTCTTGGATCAAATCATTGATCACTAATTCAGACATTGTTTTCACAAATTTTACCACTTTGTTGTTAATAGTAATACTTCCAGAGGAATGAGTCTTTAAGTGGTTCTCCAATAACTCAATTGTGGGGAACATTAGTCCACATCCGATGACCGGACAGACAATCATTGAAACTAACGTTAATTGGGAAACAGTTTTGTTTATTAAAGTGTCCAAAGATTTTTTGGTTTTGGTGTCTGAAGTCGTCGACGATTTTTTGTGTTCATTTGTTTCAGTGATAATGACATTAAATTTAGTGTTGAGTACTTCCAGTCTTACGATGTCTTGAAGTGATAAGTGATTCAAGTCTTTCAAAGATGTCTTAAAACTCAATATTTTATTCAAATATATTTGAAACTCATTTAAGACATCAAAACATTGATTCAAAAACAATAATTCACTCAAAAGTCTTGTGTTTTCTTCACTCAACTCTTGGATCAAATCATTGATCACTAATTCAGA